TTTAGAGAAACAAAGGACATTGGACTTTATGCTGTTTTCTTTGTTTTAAAGTGACATTTGGTCCTCACATTGTTGTCTGTATGTAGATTCTGTATTTGACTATGTAGACAGATAAACGCATATATAGTAATTTATTATTATTAAATAATTAATGAACTGAAAGTGGTTGGGTTTGGATGCAGCACTACTAATTGTTGAGTATTGATTATCTTTTTATTTTTTATATTGTTGATATGAATAGATTGAAGAAAAGAGTGGTGACTAGCTGCCAATGTATATCCACATTGGTGGTAGTTTTAAACACGACCGCGATGGTAACCTTAGATATATTGATGGGGAGTGTGATACATGGCAAGTGAATCCGGACTTGTTAACAATTTGGGAGTTTCATGAGAAAGTTAGAATTGGTAGATATGATGTTGATCTAGTGGAAGGTATTTATTATCTTGAACCAAACAAATCACTGGATGATGGTTTAAAGCAAATTATTGGAGACGACACAGTTAGGGAAGTGTTGGATGTGATGAAGGGACATGGTGAAGTTCATATATATGTGGATCACATCCCCAACTTTGCTGAAATAGTTCCTGTATCTACTATTTTAATGCTCCCAACATCTGGTGATCCTTTAGAACCTGGTGGTGGGGTTTGTAGTGATGATGGTGGTGGGGTTTGTAGTGATGTTGGTGGTGGGGTTTGTAATGATGCTGGTGGTGGAGTTTTTAGTGATGCTGGTGGGAGTAGGATCAATGAGGATGAGGCATTTAATGAGGTTGGTGAAATGAGGGATAATAACAGTGATGAACAGGATGCAATATTTAATGAGGCTGGTAGTTATAGGAGCACAGAACATGGGGACCACTTTGTTGCTGGTAGTGATGTCCAGAATGATTGTTTTCCTCAACAACCTGATATAGATAATGTTGAAGAACCTGAGGAAAATGAGTATGAGCATGGGCTTGAGAATTTTCCTGAGTTGTCTGACAATGAAGATGAGGAGACTATTTTAGCAAGGGATAATTTGAGGCATTACAGTTCGACTCAACAGCATGCTAGTATTACTCTTATTTTCATAATAGTGTTATCCATTTAGTTTTTAAGCATAATTTACATTTACATTTACCTTTACATTTGGTGTTAATGTGTTTCTATTGTAGATAATATAAACATTGCTATTCAAGGTGAGGATGATGCAGAAATACACTCTGGTGATGAAGTAAGTTACCAAACCACAAGTGATGAAGAGGACAGTGAAGCAGAACATGGTGTCAGAAGAAAAGCAAGGCATCCTGTCTTTGATGAAAGTGAAGGCAACCAGGAAATTGAGCTTGGTATGATATTTCTTAATAAGAAACAATTCAAGAAAGCTGTGGGTCAATTGAGCATCAGGGAAGGAAGAGAGATTACATGGAAAAAAAATGATAAGCTCCAGATGAGGGCAGTGTGCAAGAATGAGAAATGTGACTGGAAGATTCTACTGGCGATGGACATTCCTACAAATTCTTGGATGGTAAAAACTTTCTATAATTGTCACACATGCTCGAGGACTATTACAAATAAAGGTTGCACATCATCTGTTGCTGCTGATCATCTAGTTAAGACAAGAGGAGTAGCTTCCCTGCGTATGAATAGGGGAGATGTTTTTGAGGCAATTCGGGATGATTTAGGTGTGGAGTTGACACCTGTGCAACGTAAGAAGACAAAGGATAAGTTGAAGAAGAAATTTGAAAGTGTTTCTAATGCTGCATACAGCAGGTTATTTGATTATGCAAATGAGCTTAAGTCAAAGGATCCAGAAGCAAGCGTTGTGCTTCAGTGTTGTAGACAATCAGCAGATACAACTCCTACATTTTTAAGGATGTACGTCTATTTCAGTGCGTTGAAGAAGGGATTTCTTGCTGGATGCAGACGTGTAATAGGAGTTGATGATGCATTCCTCAAAGGTGCCTACAAAGGAGAGTTGCTGACTACTGTTGTACGGGATGTAAACAATCAAATGTACCCGATAGCTTGGGCTGTAGTGGAGGTTGAGAAAAGGGAGACATGGGAATGGTTTTTTGAAGAACTGAGGAAAGATTTGCTCATTGGTGATGGAAGCAGGTTTTGCATTATGTCTGACCAACAAAAGGTAAGTACCAACGTGTTTTATGACTTATTTAGCATTATAAGCAATTGGGTCTTCTAGCACTTCATGTTCATGTGATTTCAGGGACTTACACTTTATGTTCATGTGATTTTAAGGACTTGTTAAGGCTGTGGAGGAGCTTTTCCCATGTGCTGAACACAGGTTCTGTGCTAGACATAAGTACAACAATTTTAGGAAGCAACATAAAGGCAAGGAGCTGCAAAAGGCATTCTGGAAGTGTGTTAAGGCACGAACAGTACCTGAGTTTAGCAAAGCTCTGGATGAGTTGACATCATTGAAACCTTCTACAAGGGAAACTATGTTCAACACAGACCCAAAGCATTGGTGTAGAGCGTTCTTCCAAACAGAGACAAAGTCAAATATAGTTGATAATAACATGTGTGAGGTTTTTAATGGATTGTTGGTTGAATCAAGACATAAGGCTATTGTCTCATTGCATCAAGATTTGAGGGCATTTTGTGGTCAAAGGACAGTGGCAAGAAGGGAATTTGGGGATAGAAAGTTTGTAGATGATTTTGGTCCAAGAACATGGGAAAAGCTGGTAGCAAATACGAGGGGAAGCAGAAGGTGCAAATTCTTGTGGCCGGGGAGTAACTATTATGAAGTTCAAGAGAATGGTGCGGATGTATACATGGTTAATGTGGATGAAAGAAAGTGCACATGCAAGGAATGGGATCTCATTGGAATCCCTTGTAGGCATGCCATGGTAGCTATTAATGCTAGGAAGGAAAAAGCAGAAGATTATGTATCAGATTGGTATAGGAAGGAGAAGTTTAAAGCTGCTTATGAGTATGCTGTACCTGTAACTGAAGGGATGAATCAGTGGGAGAAAACTAGAATGCCACCTGTTCAACCCCCACCAGCCAGGAAAATGCCAGGAAGGCCAAAAGGGAAGAGGGTTTTGGAAGAATGGGAAGGGCACACTAACATGAGTCGAAAAGGGAGACAAATGACCTGTCAAAAGTGTTTCCAAAAAGGACACAATTCAAGAAAATGCAAAGCACAAGGACCCACCACTGTAAGTTTTAATTTTAGAAAATAGTGTACATGACAACCAGGAAATTTAGATATATTTTAACTTGTTGTAGGCCCTTCAACCTTTTAATTTAGATATATTTTAACTTGTTGTAGGCCCCTCAACCTAAAAATGCCAATGCAAGTGAAGAGCAAGTTCCTGTTGAAGATTCCCAACATCCCAAAACAGTCACTGAAAATGATGTAACTTTTTGCAATTTCTTTATTTATTGTTTAAGGATATGCTTGTACAAACTATTGGACTATTGTGTAATAAACCATGCACCATTTTTTTTTTTTCAGGATTCTCAAATTCCTTTGAGTCAAGTGGTGAACCCAATGCCTGTCAATGATCCAATGTCTGTGCAAAATCAGAATGAAGAGAATACCAATCCAGCAACTGTCCAACAACAAAAAAATAGAGTTCAGATACCTGCAAAAAGGCAAAACAAGAAGGTTAGTTCCTAAAAAATATAGTTAATGCACACCTTGATTTATCTAGGATCAGATTGATAATTTATGTAAAATTTTTTAGGGTCAAAGGAGTTCAGAATCAGCAACTGCGAATCCCCCTGCAGCTGCACCACATGCCACTGTAGAAACTCCACAGCAACCTAAAAAAAAAGTGAAGACAACTGCAAAAGAACCACCAAGACATAGGGCAAAAAGTGTTGGTAATAGGTCAAACCAATAAAAAAGGAATTTGTTGCAGTATGTTTGTTTGATTTTGGACAGTTGGTAGTATATTTTGCTTTGTGCTTGTGTTTGGAAAATATGAGACAGTTGATTGGCAAGCTAGTTTTTGGTGTATGCTTGATACTTGACACTGAAAATGAGAGATTTTTTCTGTGTAAGCATTGCTTGATACTTTGTACTATGTGTATCTAATCTTTGTTTTTTTGGTAATTTATGTGTATCTTGCATGTTTGGTTTTATGCACTTAGTGCCCAGCATTTGGAAAATATGCATTAAATTTCCCTAATTTCTAAAATGAATGTTGAACTCACAGGAAAACTCACTGAAAAATATGCCATACACATTGCAACAACCACATTTTATCACATTTCTGGAAAATAACACTTTTGGACATGAGATGAAATTCACAATATATCATTACCATTACCATCTGGTTTCAGTACATACAACATTCTACATCTCATTCACTTCCTAAGTACAAACAACCCAGCAATCACTGCCATAACAATAAAAAACACCAAGCAGATAAATTGACTAATTATGGCTGCTTGAGAGCTTCTCATCTCTACCTTATTCACTTTCTTCTTCAGCATCCTTATCTTTCTATCCATTAATCTACTTTGTGTCTTCATGAGTTCATTTTCCTGCAACAATTTGGCATTTTCCTTCATCAAATCTTCCTTTTCCTGCATCAAGTTTCCCTTTTCCAACTTCAGCTCGCCATTCTCTTTCTCGATTCTTTCTTTCTCCTTCAGATTTCTGGATTCCCTATCTTTATATATCAGTAGTAAATCCCTAGCTCTTCCCTCGATTCTTTCCTCACCAGGTAAGAAATGGAAATATGGGCATTGACCCTAAT